CTTAGTGGACAACCAGCTAAATTTATTATTTTATTTTATTAAATTTTTATACTGCCCTTCTCCCGGAGGCCTCAGGGCGGTGTACAGCCAGAGATAAAACCCACAACAATATAAAAGTTAAAAGACGAATTAAAAGTACTAAATAATTTGGCCGAAAAAGCTAAAATAAAGACAACCCATTAAAATAGCATTTAGGCCAGCCCTGCTTGGTGAAACAATAGTGTTTTGAGGGCGCGGTGAAAGGTGCGAAGGTCGGGAATCCTACGAATCTCCGGGGGCAGTTCATTCCAGAGGGCAGGTGCCCCCACAGAGAAGGCTCTCCCCCTGGGGGTCGCCAGTCGGCATTGTTTGACCGATGGCACCCTGAGGAGACCCTCTCTGTGGGAGCGTACTGGTCGATGGGGGGCTATCGGAGGCAGAAGGCGGGTCCTAAGCCATGGAGCACTTTAAAGGTGGTGACCAACACCTTGAAGTGCACCCAGAAGACCACCGGGAGCCAGTGCAGCTCGTGCAGGGGCGGTGTTACATGGGAGTGTCGAGTCGTTCCCATAATCACCCGCACGGCTGCATTCTGGACCAGTTGGAGCCTCTGGGTGCTCTTCAAGGGGAGCCCCATGTAGAGAGTGTTACAGTAGTCCAGACGGGAGGTGACAAGGGCGTGAGTGACCGTGCGCAATGAGTCCCGGTCCAGAAAGGGACGCAACTGGTAGATCAGGCGGACCTGATAAAAAGCCCCCCTGGCCACAGCCGTCAAATGGTCTTCTAGGGCCAGCTGCGAGTCCAGGAGGACACCCAATATGTGTCGGTGTGCAGCGGCAGCCAAAAAAGATCTGTTAAATTCAGCCTAGCAGAGATTGAGAGAGAACTTCCTGACTAGTGTATAGAAGTGATGGGTAGTCCTCAACTTTCAACGGCAATTGGGACTAGCATTTGTATGACCTTGGAGTCCTAGTGAATGATCACTTGAATATGAGCCAGCCGGGTGCAGCAGCAGCAGCCAAAAAAGCTAACACAATCCTGGGTTGTATAAACAGAGGCACAGAATCAAGATCACACGAAGGATTGGTATCGCTTTACAAAAGCTTAGTAAGGCCACACCTGGAATCCTGCAACCAATTTTGTTCACCAGGTTGGGATTTTGGAAAAAGTGCAGAGAAGAGCAACTAAGATGATTAAAGTACCTGGAGACTAAAACATAGGAAGAATGGCTGCAGGATTTGGGTCTGGCTAGTCTAGAGAAAAGAAGGACCAGGGGTGACATGACAGCAGTATTCCAGTATTTGAGGAGTTGGCCCAAAGAAGAGGGAAGGGTCCAATTATTCTCCAAAGCACCTGAGGGCAAGAAAAAGAAACAATGGATGGAAATTAATCAAGGAGAGAAGCAACCTGAAATTAAGGAGAAACTTCCTAACAGTGAGGACAATTAACCAGTGGAACAGTTTGACACCAGAAATCGTGGGCCCTCCATCACTGGAAGTTTTTAAGAAGAGACTAGACAGCCAATTGTCTGAAATGGGATAAATTCCCCTGCTTGAGCAGGGGGCTGGACTAGAAGACCTCCAAGGTCCCTTCCAGCTCTATTCTATTCCAATTCGTATTGCTATTCATTTCTGTCGCTAAGCGATATGGTCTGTGGAACTGCATGCTCTGTGATACAAGGAGCCATTTACAAGTAGTCTTTTGACTTATGATCGCAACTGGGACTGGAATTCTGGTTAAGGTTGTAAATCGAGGCACATATGATGGGACCCGATATATTTTTTTACGGTGCTTGTTAAGCAGATCTTGCAATCATAAGCTGAATACACTTTCCTGAATGGGCATTTTCTGTTGTTAAATGCCTGGTCGTAAATTGAGGATTACCTGTACTAGAATCTTTCAACAGGGAATGGAGGTTGCCCTGGGGGTGGGGATAGAGGACCTCTGAGGTTCTTGACAACTCTAATTCTAGGACGTTGCTTTCTCTTATTAAAAAAAAAAAAAAGTGCCATCCAACGGAATGAGTGGCAAAAGCAATTTCTCCACAATTGTGAGCAGGAGAGGTGAGTCTTGTTGGATTGTAAATTCCAGGTGTATTTGGCGCTCCCAAGATTTCAGATCTCTGGTAAATCCTGTTCCCCTTTTGCACACAGATTTCCCAAACTCAATTCAGTGCCCAGCAGGATTTCGGAAGTACAAAATGACTCACCATGATGTCATCTGCAAATGGTCCTTCCTTCCACCTTTGCTCCGTACAGAACAATGGAATGAAAGGAAACTTACCAGGAAGAAATATTTGGATGTGGAAAGCTGGCTGAAATTCTTGGCTCAGAATTGCTGTCAGTCCGGGACTAAGTTTGCACAACATAAACACACTAGGCTGGGGTCAAATAAGTTGTGAAAAGCAGGCCTGCTGCGTCTCAACTCAGCATGTTAGCCAGACTATTTTAGGAATTATTTGGAATAATTTAGAAAATCTGGATATAAAGCAGCGTTTCTCAATTCACAAGGCAAGTCCAACAATAGGTCAATTCAGCAACCAAGTTACGCATTTGTGAGAATCTACCACTTCAGCCAAGATGCCTAGATAAGTATTGCTCAACTTCTGCCACTTTAAGATGAGTGGGCTGCAACTCCCAGAATTCCTTAGCCATCCACATACTTCATGCTGGCTGGGGAATTCTGGGAGTTGAAGTCCACCCATCGTAAAGCATGTTGGCAAGGGATTCTGGGAACTGAAATCCACACACTTAAAACATGCAGGCTGGGGAATTCTGGGAGTTGAAGTCCACCCATCTTCAAGTGGAGAAGGTTGAGAAACATGGATGTGACTATGGAATTCTGGGAACTGAAGTCCACACACTTAAAACATGCAGGCTGGGGAATTCTGGGAGTTGAAGTCCACCCACTTAAAGCATGATGGCAGGGGAATTCTGGGAGTTGAAGTCCACCCATCTTCAAGTGGAGAAGGTTGAGAAACATGGGTGTGGCTGTGGAATTCTGGGAGTTGAAGTCCATACACTTAAAACATGCAGGCTGGGGAATTCTTGTAGTTGAAGTCCACACGCTTAAAGCATGCTGGCAGGGGAATACTGGGAGTTGAAGTTTGCCTATTTTCAAGGGGACAAGATTGAGAAATACTTCTTTAGAGACCACGAGGCCAAGAATTGGGTTGGGGCATTGCTCGCTGCCAGCCTAAAGCTGCTGGGTTAATTCAGGGGGTGATCCCAGCTCTTTTGGGACGCTAACCATGATTTATGGCTGAGAGCGACTGTGGGAGGAAAGTGTTAGTCCTTGATGCAAAAAAAAACAAAAAAAAACCAGAAGTTAGGTGAGATAACTCCTCATTCACCGAACAATTCTACCTTTTTATCACACTTGTAAATTGGAAAATATGCTGGCCTTGCAGGCTGAGGTGAGGTGTGTGTGAATCATCTTTATCAGTGTTTCTATTGTTTCATTCTAACAATAACCCTCCCTATCTGTTTCAGGGTTTGGATCATTAAATCACAGGGTTCGAAGGGACCTTGGAGGTCTTCTAGTCCACCCCACCCCCCATTCAAGCAGGAGACCCTACACCATTTCAGACAAATGGCTGTCCAGTCTCTTCTTGAAAACCTCCAGCGATGGAGCCCCCAAAACTTCTGCAGGGAAGCTGCTGCCCCACCGGTTGATTGTTCTCACTGTCAGAAAATGTCTACTCAGTGCTAGGTTAGCTTCCTCTTTAATGATCCTTCTAGATCAGAGGTCTCCAACCTTGGCAACTTTAAGACTTGTGGACTTCGACTCCCAGAATCCCTCAGCCAGCTTTCCTGGCTGAGGGATTCTGGGAGTCGAAGTCCACAAGTCTTAAAGTTGCCAAGGTTGGAGACCCCTGATCTAGATCCAGGACCATTGGAAACTAATCAATGCACTAAAAATGACGACTATGCTTGATTTGGAAGGAGGCAGACTCTGTAACTGCAGCGGTTGTGTAGAATACTGGATGCACATCTGGCTAGTTGTGCGATGAACTGGGCTCAGCAAAACTGTGGCTTAAAAACACGACAGCAGCCTCCCAGTATTTGAGGGGCTGCCACAAAGAAGAGGGGAGGGGTCAATCTGTTCTCCAAAGCACCAGAAGGCAGGTCAAGAAACAATGAATGGAAACCAATCAAGGAGAGATTCAACCTGGAAGTAAGGAGAAACTTCCTAACAGTGAGGACAATTAACCAGTGGAACTGCTTGCCTCCAGAAGTTGTGGATGCTCCATCACTGGAAGCTTTTAAGAAAAGACCGGACAATCATTTGTCTGAAATGGAGTTGAGCACGGGGCTGGACTAGAAGACCTCCAAGGTCCCTTCCAAACCTGGTGTTCTCTGGCTAATTAGGTTTGCCTTGACATCTCGGTTTTATTTGAAGAGCCCCCGCTAGGGGGCAGCAGCTAACCAACCTTGGCTGATCTTTGGAAAGAAAGAAAGAAAGAAAAACCTCTGGATTGTCAGTACAGGGAAAGGGGACCACCAGGAGATGCCAGCAAGGGGATTTTTTTTTTTTTTTTTTGCAAGAAAGCCACTTTTACTACCAGAGAAACTTGCATAGCTCGACTCGGGCGGCCAAAGTCGGGGATGGGGGGGGGGGGGGTAGTAGCCTCCAGCCAACTTTGATCCATTTGCAAAAGTGAAGCAGGATCGACTTGATTCCTATTTGGGCATCGGGGGGGGTGTTCCGATCCCCCACACACAAAGAAGCCAAGAGCGGAGCGGCTTCTCCCGCGCTGCAAAAGCGCGCTGGAGCGAAGACGGAGCGCAGAGTTGCAACCGGGCGCCCGCCGGTGCTGAGAGCCGGCCAGGGGCTCCCGGGGGGCGGTGGAAGCGGGAGAGGAGGAGGGAGGCGCTGAGCCGGCTGCGGAGGATGGGCGCTGTAGTACGGCCGGCGCGCCCTCCTACCTGGCCCGGTGTCGGGTTGCGCCCAACCCCCGAGCATCGGGGCGGGGCGGGGCGGCTGGGCTGGGGCCGCTGCTCCCATTCTGGGCTCCCGCGTCCTCCTCCGCCGCCGCCGCCACCAGCATGTGCAGCCCGGTGGAGCGGCGCCTGGGCGGCCTGCGGGCTCTGCTGGGGGGCGAGGGGGCGGCGGCGGCGGGGCTGGAGGGGCTGCTCGACCTCCTCATCTGCGTCCACCAGGAATGCAGCGCTGCCCCCCTGCGCCGGGAGCGGCCCGTGCAGCAGTTCCTGGAGTGGGGTGAGTCGGGGGGGGGCTTGTGGGGTGGGGGGCTCCTGGGCACGTGCAGAGTGCGGAGCCGCCAGCCGAGGAGCCCTTGGACCACCCGTGCTTCGGTCCCTCGAGGCGAAGGAAAGGGGGGCTTTGCTGGAGCTGGGGAGGGGGGGCTCAGTAGTTTAGCCCACCCCGCTTTGAGGGAAAGGAGGCTGCCACAAGGGGAAGGGTCTTCGTTGGAAGAGGTCCCCCCTTCCTTCCTTCCTTCCTTCCTTCCTTCCTTCCTCTTTCTTTCTTTCTTTCTTTCTTTCTTTCTTTCTTTCTTTCTTTCTTTCTTTCTTTCTTTCTTTCTTTCTTTCTTCTTTTTCCTTCTTCCTCTTTCTTTCTCTCTCTCGTCTCTTCCTTTTTCTTCTTTTCTCTCTCTCTCTTTTGATGTGCCACCTCTTCAAATGACCTTTCCTTCTTCTTCCTCTTTCTTCTTTCTTTCTTTCTTTCTTTCTTTCTTTCTTTCTTTCTTTCTTTCTTCTTTCCTTCTTTCTTTCTTTCTTTCTCTTTCTCTCTCTCTTGCCCATCTCTGCAAATGATCTTCCTTCTTCCTTCCTTCCTTCCTTCTTTCTTTCTTTCTCTCTCTCGTCCTCTTCCTTTTTCTTCCTTTATTCTCTCTCTCTCTCTTTTGATGTGCCTCTTCAAATGACCTTCCTTCTTTCCTTCTCTTTCTTTCTTCTTTCTTTCTTTCTTTCCTTCCTTCTTCCTTCCTTCCTTCCTTCCTTCTTCTTTCTTTCTTTCTCTCTCTCTCTCTTGCCCATCTCTGCAAATGATCTTCCTTCCTTCCTTCCTTCCTTCCTTCCTTCTTTCTTTCTTTCTCTCTCTCCCTCTCTCCTTTTTCTTTCTTCTCTCTCTCTCTTACCCATCTCTGCAAATGATCTTCCTTCCTTCCTTCCTTTTTCCTTCCTTTCTTTTCTCTCTCTCTCCTTTTTCTTTCTGCTCTCTCTCTCTCGCCCATCTCTCCAATGATCTTTCTTTCTTTCTTTCTTTCTTTTTCTTTCTTTCTTTCTTTCTTTCTTTCTTTCTTTCTTTCTTTCTTTCTTTCTTTTCTTTCTTTCTTTCTTTCTTTCTTTCTTTCTTCCCTCCCTCCCTCCCTCCCTAGACCTGCTTTCACCACATTTCTTGCAAGGTTTTCCCCAAATTTTCCCTCCCCCCCCCACCAACTGAATTCTGGGGGGCTGGCGTGGGCAAAGGAACTCTCCTTCTGGGTGCCATCAACCCCATGTCAATCCATCCAGTCCCCTCAATCTTCCCAGCAAGGCTCCCTTCCCTGGGTGCCTCCCTCCCTCCCTCCCTCCCTCTGAACCTCCTTCAAACCTTCTACCTGGTGCCTCTTTCCAGAGTTGACAGCTAGAGTCCGAAGTGCTTCTCCTCTCTTGAAGCAGAGGAAAATGATTGATGCCCTTCTGGATTGGTGGAGGGCCTTTCTTTTCCTCCTCCAAACAAGGGAGGGCTGGGGAGAGTCGAGAGTCCTGTGGAACTCAGTGCCACTGGGGGTTGAGAGCTGCAAAATAAACTGCTCGGCAAATCTTTGGGGAAGGATGCCTCCTTTGACCAGCGCTGAAAAGTAGGAAGCTGGTGAGGCAGCACTGTTTTTCAAACTTGGTCCCTTTAAGAGGAGTGGACTTCAACTCCCAGAATTCCCCAGCCAGCTGCTGCTGCTGGGGAATTCTGGGAGTTGAAGTCCACTCCTCTTAAATGGGCCAAGTTTGAACAACAGTGATAGAGGCAATACAGAGAGGATGCAGTCCAGCTTCCGTAAATCCCATCCAGCAGAGCAGATGGTTATTGTAGTCCATTGAGCCAGCAAAAGATGGGAGAAACTCCCCTCCCTCCCTCCCTCCCTCCCTCCCTCTTTCTTTCTTTCTTTCTTTCTTTCTTTCTTTCTTCTTTCTTTCTTCTTTCTTTCCTTCCTTCCTTCCTTCCTTCCTTCCTTCCTTCCTTCCTTCCTTCCTTCCTTCCTTTCTTTTGTGTTTCCAAAAACGAGGACACTTTCTGACTCACCCAGAATTATCAGTAAGGCTTGGGAGGACGAGAACAGGTGAAAATCAGCGTAGGAAACACTGCCCAGATGCCAATCCTGGCTACCCAAAACCCCATTGCCCTAATCCTCATCTCTCTGCGCCAATTTTCTCTTTCCCCTTATTCGCACAACCTGTCTTTTTTCGTAGGAAGGGAAATCTTAAGAATTGTGGGTGGTGCATCCCAGAAGGGAGAGAACTGAATCCCGGCAGGCCCTAAAGGAAAAATTGGGGCCCGGCTGATTCAGCTCACCCCACAACACACCCCCACAGATCACCCATCTCGTTTCATGGATGTCATTGGGCGCTTGCTGGCCAAGCCTTGCAAAGCGACGTCAGCACACGAGATGTGTGAGTCGATGGGGCTTCGTGGTAATCCCGAAGTAATTAGCTTTGGGAGGGAGGGGAGGGGGAGAGAGAATCAGAATAGAGCTGGAAGGGACCTTGGAGGTCTTCTAGTCCAGCCCCCTGCTCAAGCAGGAGATCCTATATCTAGGATCTCAGACTAGGTGGCTCAGTGGCTAAGAGTGTCTTCGTTAGGCTAAGACACTGAGCTTGTCGATCAGAAAGGTCGGCAGTTTGGCGGTTTGAATCCCTAGTACAGTTCTCCTGCGTGAGCAGGGGGTTGGACTAGATGACCTCCAATGTTCCTTCCAACTTTGTTATTATATCATTTCAATGCCCAGTTTGGGGCCCTGCCCAGTCCTGTTGGTGCTTCTGGAGTTGTGAAAGGGTGTTGAACCCACCTTAGGCTAGAGGGAAATTTTTAAAAATGAAAGATCTCTACATATTTTATATAGGCTTGGGCCTTCTAGAATAGTGTTATTCGATCTTTGCAACTTTAAGATGGGTGGACTTCAACTCCCAGAATTCCCCAGCCAGCTGTATTCTGGGAATTGAAGTCCATGTATCTAGAAACATGCTGGGTGGGGAATTCTGGGAGTTGAAATCCATGTATCTTAAAGCAGAACAACTAGGGAATTCTGGGAGTTGACGTCCATACATCATAAAGCACAATGATTGGGGAACTCTGGGAGTTGAAGTCCATATATCTTAATGCTGGGTGGGGAATTCTGGGAGTTATAGTCTATGTATCTAGAAGCATGCTGCGTGGGGAATTCTGGGAGTTGAAGTCCATATATCTTAAAGCGAGCTGGGTGGGGAATTATGGGAGTTGTAGTCCATGTATCTAGAAGCATGCTGGGTGGGGAATTCTGGGAGTTGAAGTCCATATATCTTAAAGAATGCTGGGTGGGGAATTCTGGGAGCTGAAATCCACACTTCTGAAGTTGCTAAATTTGAGAAGCCTTGCTCTAAGCACTCTCCCATTTCAAGGTTGTCGTAAATTCCCAGCAGATTCCTGGTTGGCCAAACATCCAAGGGAAAGGTGTAAATAAGATTTTAAACGTGTTTGCTAAAGAGACCACAATTCATCGGAGCTATGAATCACCCTGAGCTGGAAGCTGAGGTTTGCAAACAGTAGTTGCCGGGTTCCCACAAACAAACCACAGTGTGGTGCAGCCGAAGAGCCAAACCTGAGTTAAGCCTGCATTGGTTGACTCTTTCTTACTTCCCCAGTTCCCTTGGGGAGCATCTGTGGTTTGGTTCTCTTTGGTAACTGCCCAGTGGCAATTCCGGCTTCTGGGCGTGAGGCTGAGCGGACACCAAAAGGGTAACTGAGGCCTCATTATTTAATCCAGGGTTGTCCAACCTTGGCCATTTGAAGACCTCTGGACTTCAACTCCCAGAATTCCCCAGCCAGCTCGCTTCTGGCTAGGGAATTCTGGGAGTTGAATCCACAGGTCTTAAGATTGGACACCCCTCATCTAATCATCCATATCAATTAAATGTATATGCCGCTTTGAGAAAATGATTTTATTTTTGCACAGTTTCTAGGCTCAAAGAGCTCAAGGCACTGTCCAAATCTTTTCCTGCTTTCTTTTCTTTTTCATCAAGAACAACCGCCCTGCCAGGTAGGCTGTCCTGAAATCCCACAGGGACCCTCCAGGACTAAAAAGGGACTTCAATTCGCATTTCCCTGCTCCTTGTTTACTACCTCGAGTATTGCACCAAATGGTCTCCACATGCACCATCCTAGAAGTAGCTTTTCTTTTAATTCTACTGCTGTAAAAAATGAATTAGCCAGGAATTTAAGCTATTTAAGCTTCTTCCCCCCCAAGTTAATGAGTTCTGGATCCATAAATCAAGGCTAGCCTTTGCTTTGCCATCCTGGTTGTAAGAGGTCTGCAGTCCAGCTGGGCATTCAATGATAGATAATAGATAGATAGATAGATAGATAGATAGATAGATAGATAGATAGATAGAGATAAAGAGAGGGAGGGAGGAGAGAGAGAGAGAGAGAGAGAAAGAGAGAAAGAGAGAAAGAGAGAAAGAGAAAGATAGAAAGATAGAAAGATAAAGATAGACAGAAAGAGAGATAAAGAGAGAGAGATAAAGAGAGACAGAGAGAGAGAGAGAGAGAGAGAGAAAGATAGAAAGATAAAGATAGAGAAAGAGATAAAGAGAGAGAGAGAGAAATAAAGATAGAAAGATAAAGATAGAGAAAGAGAAAGAGATAAAAGAGAGAGAGAGAGAGAGAAAGTTAGAGAAAGATAGAAAGATAAAGATAGAGAGAGAAAGAGATAAAGAGAGAGAGAGAGAGAGAAAGTTAGAGAAAGATAAAGATAGAAAGATAAAGATAGACAGAGAAAGAGAGATAAAGAGAGAGAGAGATAAAGAGACAGAGAGCGAGAGAAAGATAGAGAAAGATAAAGAGAGAAAGATAAAGATAGAGAGAGAGAGAGAGAGAGAAAGAGAAAGAGAGAGATAAAGATAGAGAGAGAGAAAGAGAGCTAGACAGACGGATGGTTAGAGATGATAACAGATAAAGAGATAGAGTAAGATGATAGATATACATGATAGATAGATGATAGATTTTTGGGAGGGGGAATTATAAGGGTA